GCACTTAACAACAACAACAACAACAAACTGGTCATGATTACCATTTTTCTCAACCATTCCTCATTCCCTTGAGACTGTTAGGAAGACAGGGAACATAGCATTTGATAAGCACCATTTTATGAAACACCTTGAGAGACAAGAAATTTGTGTTCAAAACTGAACTGAAGAATTTTGCCATCAGAAGTTCTTCCTTTATAAAATCAATTGGTCTTTTCTAATCTGGAGCAAAGAAGAGAAAAGAAAACCCACAACTCAAAGAAACAATTTGCCTAAAGAACTAATGGAGGACATGAATCACAGCCTCTACTAGTGTGAGACCAAAAGAACTTCCACACTGTTACACTGCTGTCAGAGTAGTAATATATATATATATATATATATATATATATATAAAACCATGTCAGTCTTTTTTTTAACTCTACCTTTATATGTGAAAAGACCTAAATAATAGCAATTTCAAATGTTTCAACTTCAGATATGACCAATTCAAATTGCTTAGCATGACACCTGAGTAGGGTGACCATGTAATTTCTAATATAAACTGGGACATTTCTGAGGGTAAAAGTAAATTCTGAAACCCAGGAATAAATGGGTCTCTTTTAAGAAATATACAATGCATGATGATGGCCTATGCATTAAGGCCTTCCCTTGTTTGGTCACCTCCTCCTTCCTTCATTTCATCTCCTGATACTCCCCACTTGCTTAAATGCTTAAGCAGTGCCAAACTAGTTACATTTCCCCCCTAAACATGCTGTTCATTTTCATACCTTCTTGCTCTGCATGGAACACTTTCCCCACTTTCCTCATCTCAGTAATTCCGCAGTTTTAAATGTTCAATGAGAGATTAACTCTTTCAGAAAACTCATGATGTATGCTCCTCCCTAGAGATGGGCCAACTGCTCCTACTTCATCTTCCAAAGTCCCTAAGCATAGCTTTGAGTCCATTAAATTTGATTGAAAGTGGTTGTATGCTTTTTTCTCTCCTCTTCCAAACTCTACACCATTTAAAATAAACATTAAGTCCCATTGAACAGTGTTTCTGCTATTCCTAGCTTAGGAGCTGATGACACGTGATATGGGTTAGATTAGTTAGCCAATGGGAAAAGACTTCACTTGTTTGTTTACATAAAGAAAGTATACTATTAACATTGCTTCTTACCATTCAGATTGAAATCTTGATTTGGACTAGTCTGGATTTGTCCTCCCCTACTAAGAGTCACTTGTTTGCTGAAATCATCCTCCAGAATTAAAGTTACCGAATGAAGGCATACCAAGCCAAGGTTCTATTGATGATAAAAATCAAATAGTCAATTAAAGGAATGAGAGAGAGATGGAGAAGACATTTTTTAAACATTTTTAATAAAATAGCAATAATGATGTTTTCCATAGCACATAAAGTGCCTTTCAAAATTCATTTCACTGATATCAATCTATTTAATTGGTATATTAAATTGGCATACTTTGTTGTTGTCAGGTGCCGTGGAGTCGGTTCTGACTCATAGTTACCCTGTATAGGGTTTCTGAGGAGTGGCTGTGAGTTTGAACTGCTGATCTTGCTTTTCAAACAGACTTTGCAGTCCATAATAGGACACCAAGTTGGCATATTACTAACTATTCAAAAACCTTAATAACCATAACCAAGTTAATTCAAACTTTAACATATTGCAAAGAAAAAAATTAAACAGAAAAAATAACAAAATATTTTAGAACTTTTAGTGGAAATAATCATCTTAGAATAAAATTAGAAAATAAAAGATTTAGGCAAAATTTTGACAACCCGTTTTTAAAAATGAATGAAACAGAGATCTAGTTTCTTATTTATACTCTAATGATGTGCTTATTATATCGAGAAAAAAAACACTAAAATAAGTTTCTCAGCATGAATAGAAAATCATTCTATGTGTTTAGAATGATGTGAAATGTGTGCAATCCTGTCAATAATCACTTCTTTAAAATCTAGTTGCAACATGCAAGCATGCATAAGATATCCATACACTTACATAAACATATCACATACTATCAAAGAAAACTGCAGCTAACTACTGGTAGCTCTTCTTGTCGATGACACATTTATTTTTACATTTTAACATCTCATAAATCAAGGTGTAGCATATAGTCAATGATATGTCATTTTTTTTTGTAGTACATAAAGTAATAGAGTATTTAAACAACCAATTGTGTTTTCCTAGTGAAAAAAATTTTCATTTATGTTATCATTTAAAATCTGCATTCAAGTTTGAGTCCTGGCAGACGCCATCCTGCAAATGACAGACGCCATACTGCCAAGGAGCAGAACTGCGAGAAGCCTTATGCATGAAAAGTTCATTGTTTAGCAGAGGGACAATGAATGCCCCCCTTGGTTAGCAGAGCTACAAGGGATGATTCATGCAGGGAACCCGCGGTTTCTAGCTTTCCCTTGGAAAAATAGTTTATTTCTGATTTCCTTATAAGAAGTTTTAGAAAATCTTGCATAATTATTAGATACTTTAAACAAACCTCATGTTATAATAGTTGCCTTTCACATTAGCATTAACTTCCACACCATATTCAATGTTATGTAATTATAAAAATTGTTTTTTTACACTAACAATAAGTTTTAACATTAGATATAACCACACTAGCTAAAGTTTTAGCAATTCAAGCTTAAAAGTGTAAGAAACATCACAGGTGGTTTTAGTCAAGGACATTAAGGCTTTTAGAAAGCAGCTTAGGAGACCGTCAAGGGCAGTGAGAGCTTGGGAACAGAGGCAAGAGTTTGATTAGAAGTTTTGAGAAATTGTTAGCATGAGAGAATTACTGCTTTAGGGTACTTTTGTGTTCTTGTTTTTATTGTTTGATCAATTATATGTATAACCAGTTATAGTAAAAATTATGTTTTTGATTGTAATCTGTAAGTAATGAATCTATAGAAAGTAATAGATGTTGGTAAAGTTAGAAATTAAGATGTAGAACTTTGTTTAAAATTAACTTAACATTTTAGGGAGGATTAGAGAGAAACAGAGTTGCTTACAGAAGGCAGACGTTATCACAGTAACTAAGGAGTAACTAAGGAGTATAGAGACACGGGAATGTTTGGTGACCTTGTGTTTCTCTTGCACCGTTGATGTAACAATATAATATTTGATTGATTTGTAACTGCTTGTATGTGACTGTTATGAGATCATAGTATGTTCTAAATGGGATATAAGAAGCAACAATTTTGAAATAGTCAAGGCAGCAGTCAGAAAGAGAGTCATCAGAGAGAGCCATTACCATCATCTGCCTGAGACTCAAAAATGACCCACTGACTCTTTGAGTTTTTTTTTATTTTATTTTTTTCATTTGCCGACTCCACATCCTCCTATCGAGAACCTCCTAATAATTATGTCAAGGCTGGTCCTCTGCAGAGTCCCCCTGCTCAAAACTAAGAATGCCCCTGTTCACTTAGATATTAAAAGAAGATGTTCTTACCTGCTCACAGGGAGCTTTCTGTAAAGTAATTGTGAATCTATCTTTTCCAGTGCCTTTCAGAAGTATATACTGGCACATGCCAATGAAAGAATAATGTCGGCCATCAAAAGTTGAAAAATGAGAATCACCCACAACAGAGCATTGAACTACAAAGAAAGAAAGAAAGAAAATATCAGAAGGAAATACACAAAAGATAAAAAATGAGGAAGAATAAGAAGAGGGAAAAAATTACACTTCTGCCTCCTTAACAAGTAGTAACTCAAATTAATTTATAATTTGGTAAATGATTTTTGTTGTCAGGTGCCATCGAGTCGGACCCGACTCATAGCAACTCCATGCACAGCAGAACGAAACAATGTTCGATCCTGGGCCAACCTCACTACCGCTGCCACACTTGAGTCCATCAATGATGCCAC